CATATGTACATGTCTTTATCTAGACCTCTATAAATGCCCTTTTCCTCCCAGCTCTTTCCTCTAGTCTGTCTATCTGGTTTTTAACTGAAAAATAACCCTAACTCCTCGCCATCAAACAGATTATGACTCATATTGATCCTAGAAGGCAAAATGAAACTCCCATGGTGGGTTTCTAAGTCTGTAAATCTTACGGAGGTAGAAAGCCTCACCTTTCTCCTGAGAAGTAGCTGGTGGTTCCAAATAGCTGTGAACCCCTACACCAGACAGTGATAAAGAAGCTGCTAGTGAACATTCTCCTGGAAGATGCAAGGAGCCTGGGGTTGGGTGGGGAGTACAAATGGTTAATGCACTCCTCTGCCAACTGAAAGGTTGTCAATTTGAATTCACCCACAGGTGCCTCTGAATAAAATCTGACCATCGGTTTCCAAATTTTCAATCCACTTCCAAAAATTCAGTTTCACAATGACACATACAAGGCTCTCATCATTGAGAATGGATTCAATGGCAACTCATTGTCTTTAAATAGGAAGGGAAAGCATTGAGAAGCCTGTTCTCCTAGAGCTACTGGGGGAGGAGGACAGGTACCAGGGGGATTGGAATGCAATCTACTGGGGACTTCTGTTATCCTTACTCTATTTGTCTCATTCTGGAACACTGGCATGTTGTCCAACATTACCTTGAAAGAATGGCTTTCATTTTCATCACCCATTTGATTCAAGTCATCAATTTGATCATATTTTCCTAATGCCAACAATAACCACATAATACTGTCATCATTCGTTAATTTTGTATTTTTGTCTTTAAACCAGCTTCGTGGTATTTTATTAAGAGTGAAAAAATAATGGATGATAATCAACTTTGCAATTATCTTGGCATCTACAAATTGTATTTCATATGCACAAGCACAAAAGAGCTCTGTAAAAGATAAGTTAATATCACCATGAGTCGATTGCTTATGAATGAAAATATTATTAAACATTTTTATTAATTGAAGCCTACCTTTAAAAAATGGCTGAAGAAAGTGTCTTCTTTAAGCAACACATGATTTAACATTATGAGATTGGTATTCCTATTTTGTACCATTTCAGTTGATTCTAAGAAGAATCCTCCAGGACAAAGTAGAACTGCCTTATGGGGTCACTTAGGCTGTAAATCTTTACCAGAGCTGGTTACCATCTCTTTTCTCCTACAGAGCTATCAGTAGATTGAACCCTCAATTTTTCAGTTATCACCTAATTGTTTAATTATTGGAGAATCAGAGTTCCTAACTTTATAAAACTGTTGTTGTTGCTGACGGTGTTGTTAGATGCTATTGAGTCGGCTCTGACCCATAGTGATCTTAAGCACAACAAAACAAAACACTGCATGGTCCTGGGCCTCCTCATAATGCCCTTACTAAAACTAGTAAGGGCTATATGAAATGGCACTTAACTGGTTAGTCATGGAACTAGCTCCTATTACTCTTTTCTTTTAATCGTATTCTTAGGGGCTCATACAACTCTTATCACCATCCATGAATACATCAATCGTGTAAAACACATTTGTACATTCATTGCCCTCATCATTCTCAAAACATTTGCTCTCCACTTAAGCCCCTGACATTAGCTCCTCATTTTTTCTCCTCCCTTCCCCTCCCCCCTTCCTAATGAACCCTTGATAATCTATAAATTATTATTTTGTCATA